TTTTTTTAACCCCCTACATTTCATATTTACTTAAAACAGCAATAAAAAAGTTTAAAATTTAACAAAAATACCCTCACCTATCCCAAGCCACTACCTGGCTGCCTGCCACCACCACTGAGGGTGGTGACAGTGGAGATCTGGTTGTTTCTAGCATGGTCAGAAATGACTTTATCGGCACATGGTTGGCTAGATACAACCAATTGTGTGCCATTCTGTCGTCATCGACAGTGGTGACCAAATACAGCCACCACCCATGAGTAATTTTTAAAAATTTCAAGGATATTTATGTCCTAAATTTTTTATATATAAGGTAAAATAGTCTATTAGTATTTTTGTAAATTGTTTTTAAAACAAGGGCATTATTGTCTTAAAATTTTATTAATAATTGGTAAAATTATAACAAAATTAAAATTATCAAGTAATCTTAAAATGCCTAAGAAAATAGAGATAATCAGATTATCTCTTATATCACTAATAGTAATTACTATTAGTTTTGAAAGATTATCAGAATCTTATATTGCTTGACTACCAAACGTGGTAATCAAGTAATATAAGATGACATTATCTCAATCAGGTGCAAATCCAAAGTATGTTGATTCACCCTCAAATTAAAAAAAAAAATATATATATTAATATGTAATTTTTTTTTCTTTTTGTGACAATTTCGACTAATTTGTTATATGCAATTATATTTTATTTTGCCTCACCCTAATAGAAATTTATGGATCCACTATTGACCTCAGTAATGAGGAATTACCACCAACCAAATACACCCTAATAGCTCACTGACATAAAGAAATTTATGTCATTTATGAAATCTTAGGGGAAATTTTATTATTTGATTAAACCTCAGGGGGTTGAGAACCTTTTATGGGCCGGCCCATCAATATCCAGAGCCTAAACAGTTGGGCTTTTTCTTTTGTAAAGTGACCCATTTTAAGGGCCAGCCCATTTTGCACCGATCCGCACTTTGTAAACCGACTCAAGCACTACATTTTGTCTCCTCTTTCAAATCAAAACCCTAACCCGGGGTTTCTCTGTAAGCTAAGCTGTGATATTACTCAAAGAGAGGGATTCGCCGCTCGTGCTGTCAACATGGTTCGTTCTTGCTTTCAATATCTGAAACACAAAGGCTAATTATGGTTTGAATTAATTTATTTGAATTTTTTTTTTTTTTTTTTTATTGAAATAGCCGCAAGGAGATTACATTGAGCTTCATCGGAAGCGACATGGCTACCGACTGGATCATTTTGAGCGCAAGCGCAAGAAGGAGGCGCGTGAAGTTCACAAGCGCTCTGAAATTGCCCAGAAGGTATTTTAATTTACCGAGTTTTTAATATATAGATAGTTTTTTTATTTTTTATTTTCAACTATTTATGATCTTACTTTATTTTTTTAATTTTTTTTTTTTTTTTTTTCAGTCTTTGGGTATAAAGGGCAAGATGTTTGCTAAGAAACGATATGCTGAGAAGGCGCTGATGAAGAAAACGTGAGTGTTTATTTATATAATTTGTTTGTTTTACTTATATTGCGAGTGAACTAATTTTATGAGTGCGAGAAATTCAAACTTACTCGAAGCTAAAACTTCTGATAAGTATAGTAAAGTTGTCAGTTGAATGTAAAATTTTAACTACGAGAATTGTTGACAACTGTGTAGATTGTTAGGGGAATGTATGGTGCTCAAGGGATTACATAGCTTTTATTATTGAAATGGGAATGTATGAAATTAGAGATTGTATTAAAAGTCTTAATTATCATCATTTTTAATGTATTTTCTGATGTCGTGAATGATACCCGATACATTTGTATGGCTGTTGGAGGAGTTTTTTCAGTCGGTATAGGCTTTGTTTTGAAGTGTTAATTGGAGTTCTGCCCCTAGATTTTTGTCTCTTTGTTGTTTCAAAATGACCTTATGTAACCTTTTGAAGTTTAAAGAGATGAAGTTTATTGCACATTGATGGTGCCATGTTTTTACACTAGTATATAAACTAATTTTTAGTGAAGTTCTAGTTAACTTTCATTACTACTTTTTTCAATGTTTTTTTATCTTCATTTCGTGCTATGGATGTGTGAAACACATGTATTTATGTTACCTTATATATATCTAGATTTACACTAACTCCCCTGTTTGCTTGAGTTTCATTGTTCATGTCATTTCATGTATTTATGCTTTCCTTGGCCTTTATAATTACTATATTACTTTGTTGAATGGAATCAATAAATAATTATCTTGTGGATATACAGATTGGCTATGCATGAAGAGTCATCAAGTCGGAGAAAGGTGGATGATGATGTTCATGAGGGAGCTGTTCCAGCCTATTTGCTTGATCGTGAAAACACGACAAGAGCTAAGGTACGTTTTCGTTGCATATTGATGAATGCAGATTCATAGACTACATATGTCTACATTGTTGTTAAATTTGACATTTTGTTGTTTTAGGTTCTGAGCAACACTATAAAACAAAAAAGAAAAGAGAAAGCTGGAAAATGGGAGGTACCTCTACCCAAGGTAAGTTGAAAATTCTACTTCTTGCTTTATCCTCTCCATTTAGCTCTCTTGATTTTAATTTTCTCTTGCACATGTTTTTTTCCCTTGTGGGAGGTATGTTGATCTTTACTGCCAATTCTTTACATGTTTTAACTAAAAGTTTTTTCTTTTCAGGTTAGGCCTGTGGCAGAAGATGAAATGTTTAAAGTGATCAGAACTGGTAAACGAAGAAGTAAGTATCATAACCATTTTTTTTAATAGGCACTTCAAATTAGCACATTGCAGGTGTTGACCAGATGTTGTTTTATAGAATTAAAATTTGAACCTTGATGAAATGAGACTGAGGTGGTTAAATTTAAAATGTTGGTTGGAATATTGGCTTGTAGATATTATGTGGTCAGAGATAGCTGTCATAAAATTGATTTGTGCAAGTAGCATGTATGCCATGTTCTTGAGGCTGATTCTTTTGCTTTTTAGTTTGTATTGTTGTGTTGATTATGGTGAATTATTTGCTTAAAGGATATCTCCATGATCTCTGACAGTTACTGCCTGGTTATTTCTTTTGCAGCCAAGCAGTGGAAGAGGATGGTCACTAAGGCTACGTTTGTTGGACCAGGTTTTACAAGAAAACCTCCAAAGTATGAGCGTTTCATTCGCCCATCAGGGTTGCGTTTTACAAAAGCTCATGTAACACATCCTGAGCTCAAATGCACCTTCAACCTTGAGATCATTGGAGTGAAGAAAAATCCTAATGGCCCAATGTATACCTCTCTGGGTGTTATGACTAAGGGAACAATCATCGAGGTGAATATATAATAAACCATTTCATTATCCAGTTTTAACTCTGTAGCAACTTCGTAACTTATTCTTACTCTGAATTCAGGTGAATGTCAGTGAATTGGGTCTGGTCACTCCAGCTGGAAAAGTCGTGTGGGGTAAGTTTCCATTCTAAATTTCTGACTCTTGAACCGGTATTGGTGATAGCTTTCTCGTTACAACCTTTGCTTATTTATTGTTTGTCCATGAATGCAGGGAAATATGCTCAAGTGACAAATAACCCAGAGAATGATGGTTGTATAAATGCAGTTTTGCTTGTTTAAGAGAGGATTGTTGACTATTGAGAACACTTAATATGTGGGGGCCAATGCATGTTTTTGTGAAGACCTAACTCCTTTCCTTTTCTATATTGTATCTATAAACTTTTGTCACCTTCGAAAAGTGTCTTATCAAAGAAGTCACCAGTCAGTTCTAATTGTAACAAGAGATGAATATTATATCCTTGGAATGGATGTTTCAATTTTGGTTTACACTGTTGATGGTAAAATTTGTAAACTCTGCTTTCCAATTATGTTTTATGATGTTTCAATTTTTAGCCTCTTAGGGAAGGCAGTAATGGTGGATGGCTGTGGTTGTAATGGAAGTAGAGTTTTTGAAAAACGATAAATACGTGTTTAAATATAGGGTTTATAAATTACAATAATTGCTTGGGATATAATCAAATAAAATACTATTACGGTGATAAATTTTTCTCACTTTCTTTTATAAATGCGACGGATTAGTTTGTAATGAATATTGTTTGTCCAACAACGGTCTTGATTAATTGTGAATTATCACGTTGTATTTGTAAGAGAAAATTAGTGATAAGAGTTTGTTAGTCTATTTTTATCAAATCAAATAATGTCAACCTATCTTTATTGAATCAAATAATAGTTTCATTTGATGCATTTTTTTTATTAATATTATATTCTGAATAAGATAGGATATGGTTTAATTAAATAAGATAGGATTATGAGAATGCGTTTGGTATATTTTTTGAAAACATTTTTAGATCATTTTTTAACTTCCTACATTTGTTGATTTAGTTAAATATCCTCCACAATAAAAGTTTATAAATTAACAAAACACTCCTACTCACCCAATTGATTGCCGGAAGCCGACCACCACTACCCAATCAAATAATAGCTTTGTTTGGCTGTCGTCAACGGTCACATCTTTGGTTGTGATCTAGCCATTTTTAACTAGATCCATGGTGGATATGGTCAGAAACAGACATATCGACATTCGACGCACGATCGATCAAATTCGATCGGTCGTGCATCATTCCAACGTCGACGGCAAGCAGTAACGACGGCTGATGGTTGACAGTGATTGCTGGCAGGTGGCTATTGCTCGGGTAAGTGAGGGTATTTTTATTAATTTATAAATTTTTATTAAAAAATAATTGTTAAATATTTTGAGTTTGAATATAATAGGTTTGAATTTTTAACTATATTAAAATAAATATAATTTTCACGTTTTAGGATATGACGGAAGGAGAAACTCCGTCGGTGTAGTAATAGTAGAAATGCAGTAATTTTGGAAATGCACGTGCTCTTTTACTACAGGTGTGACTTGCGAGACTAGGGTCTAGGGATGGGCCTTTTCTCTGTCCCTATACTGCCCTTGATAATATTTGTATATTTATAGAATTACCCTCCTTATATATACCTACTTTTACCACCCAATTCCCGCATCACAGCCGCCCCTCCCCTTTTTCCTCGCTGATATTATTTTGCCCTCTCTCCCTTTGTCTTTCACTAAACCTGTCTTCTCTCCCTCGCTTGAGCAGATCACCGGAGACAAACAACCAAACAGGCCGCTGCTTGGACCTGTCTGGTTGACTTTGTCTCTGGTGATCTTCAAATGCTGGAACTCGGACCAGCATTTGCCGTGGATAAAATACTAGCTCCTGTGTACTTTAACTCTGGTTTTATTTCATGTTCATACTTACGGATTCATTATAAGTGAACCTTTCCCAGATGAATTTGGATGTTATTAGTGCACTTGTTTTATAGGATTTTAACCTTTATCGTACTTCCATAATAATATTCCATAATGAATTAATTTAACATTATGCTACTTTTCTTTTTTATTTTTCCAGGAAAGCACATTATATTTGGAAGAGTATGCAGGGGAATGGAACTGATCAGAAGGCTCGCAGTGTCCAGACTGATAAAGATGATTCATGATAGGTGTGCCTTTTCTTATAATTATTATTATTATTATTTTTTATTTTTTTTGGATCATTGATTACACAAATGAGCCCGCTATACCTGATAGATTTTAGGTTGGGAATTATTTATAACTTGAGTGCTTAATAGAATTACATTTCTGTGTTGATGTGATTTCATATGCTTAATAGAATGAATTCAAATACTGCCAGTTTCTTTGTTGTTTCACTCTTCTGAAACTCCATACAACTTTGGTAGACCTGGGCCACCTGGCTGTGGCTGAGTTTCCTGAAATAATCCAAAATCCTCAAAGCCAGGCTAGATTGTTAGAGAGGTCAAAGAAATCTGCTGGGTATTAAAAGCGATCAAAAATGTTCCGTATCTTATAATATCTCCGGTCATACTCTTTATTTTACGGAGTATATTTCACATAAATAAAGAATATTTTTATTAATTTTTAAAAATTAAAATTTATATTCAAATTTAATAGATTCTTTAAATTAGATTTAATAAATAGGAGAGATACTTAATAAGAGAGGAAATTAATAATAAAATACATAAAAATTTATAATTTATTAAATAAAATTGGGATAGAGTAAAATTTGACTCTATAGAGAATCAAAATGTAGAGAATCAAACTCACTCCTTAATTTGTATTTAAATAATAAAGAGTCTATTGAACTCTTATTTTTATGATCAAACTCTTTATAATAAAGAGTTTGAGTCATATAAAGAGTCATTTGAAGATCCTTTTATTATCATGTTAATTGTAAGAAAATTCAGAGTTAAGTGGAATAGCTCTATACCACAAATACCTAAGGGCATCTCCAATGGGACACCATTTTGGTGTAAAACACTAAACTTTTGTGCCCTATCTAAGTTGTTGGATTGAAAATTTTAGTGAATTGTTGATTTTCTTCTTTAATAGTTTCAATTTGGTTTGAAACTTCTTCACCATTTTTCTTATTTTCAGATCTTTGATCTTTTTTTTTTTTTTAGCATTTTATATTAGACGTAATTTTTTTTTATATTAAATGTAATGTTAATTTGACTTAATAAATGCTTAATTTTATAAATTAATATAATTTTCAAAGTTATTATTAATTAATAAAAATATTATTCTCAATAATTAATTAATATATACAAAAATAATTAGTGAAATAAATTAATTGTTGATAATTAATAGAAAGAAAAAAAAATGTTCTAAAGAATATTTTTTTTAGTGTAATATTTGGTGCAAGGGGTTGAAGATGCAATAGTAAAATGGTACGAAATTTACACCAATTTGGTGTAAAAGTTATACCAATTTGGTGTTTGTGGTTGAAGATGGTCTAAGTGGTGGAATTTCACATCATTTTTCTATTGCATGCATCAAATATTATACTAAAAAGAATATTCTTTAGAATATTCTTTCTATTAATTATCAATAATTAATTAATTTTATTAATTAATTTTTTATATATTATTTAAATATTAAGAATAATATAGTCTATTAATTAACTACTAATAATAACTTAGAATATTATTCTAGTTTAATAAAATTAAGCATTTATTAAACAATAAAGATTAATTCACAACCCAATTTTATAAACTTTTTGTCATAACCCTGATGTGATAATAATTGGGCAGGTGGGACCAATTGTTGGACAAGTGAGACTCATTGTAAGCTGACCAATTGTGAGTTGTCACGTTTGGGTTGTAAGAGAAAGTTTGTGAAATTGAGTTATAAGTGTAGTATTGTCATTTATTAAATCAAGTAAACATTGCATTTAATATGAAAAACATTACATCTAATGTAAAATACCACAAAAAATATAAAAACAACAAAAAAGCAAAAATTTCGTATTGATAGTAATTTAATTTTCCAAATTAATATATTCTTCCTATAAATGATCAATTAATGCATTTCAAAGAGCACGATAAGCCTTTGTATACTTGATTTGTCTATGTCAAGCAAGAAAATTTTGAAATCGGGCATTTTCATCTATCACAATTTCAACTTTGGAAGTTGACGCTTCTATCTTATTCTCAATCGGTGCATCAACATCATGATCATCCTCGATGATCATGTTGTGCATGATAATACACGCAGTCATTATATCATGTAATACATTTTTTTTTCCCAAAAACGTGTTGGTCCTGCTACAATTGCAAACCGCGATTGAAGAACTCTAATCGCACGTTTCACATCTTTTCTACATCCTTTTTGTTTCACAGCAAATAATTTTTTTAGGACCATATGGATTGTGAATAGTTTGTATGAGAGTAGACCATTTTGGGTATATACCATAAGCTAAATAATAACTCATATTATACTCTTTTCCTTGAATGATATAATGAGCGGGAGGAGCAATACCTTGAGCGAGGTTGACAAATAGATGAGATGCCTCCAACACATTAATGTCATTGTTGGAACTTGGTAAGCCAAAAAATGCATGTCATATCAATGATCATAATCAGTTATAGCCTCGAGAATAATAGTTGGGGATTCACTACAACTAGCATATTGTCCTGCCTAAGCCGTTGGACAATTTTTCCACTTCCAGTGCATATAGTTTAGACTACCCAACATTATTGAAAAACCATGTTGTTCACCAATATGAATTAGGTTGACAACATCATTAGCATTAGGTGATCTTAGATACCGCTCTGCAAATGCCTCAACAACAGCATGACAAAATCTCTTCGGACTTTCAATTGTTATAGACTCACATATTTTAATATACTCATCAATAGCATCTACTGGTAGACCATATGCCAACATCTGGAACACGGTTGTTATTTTTGAAAGTAGGCAATTTGAGTCTATCAATCTCATCCCTTCGTTGTATAAAGTAATTATCATGAGCTTTCATAACATCAACAATACGAATGAATAAACTTTGAGACATTCGAAATCGTCAGCGAAACATGAAATCATTATATCGTGGGTTATTGGCAAAATAATTGTTGAACAGATTACAATCAACATTTTCCCGATCGAGATTGATGACTATATGACCAAGAATTGATCCTATACAAATCACTTGGTTGTTTTGTTGATTAAGATAGTAAATGAGAAGGAGGTTGTTGTTAGCTCTTATGCTAAGAATTGTTTCTTACTTTACATTAATCGCTTCAACATCATTAATCAATTGCATGTCATCATTTTCACTCTTGAAAAATGAAGACGGATTAAAAGATGATATATGAGATGGACCTCCTACATTGAAATTCATTATTGTAGATAGATAAGTTAAATGATTAAGAAGTTGATTTGGTGTAAACTTTTATAATTAAAGAAGATACTATTCTAGATAGAAAAAATTATTTTATATGATTAAAAAATAATTTGTCTTATTTCAAAAGATGTATTGTGCATTCAAGCTTTTGAGATTTGTGTCTTATTAAAAAAAAATGTATTGTTCATTCAAGCTTTTGAGATTTGTGGCTTCTTTCAAAAGATATATTGTCAATTTAAGTTTTTGAGATTTGTATCTTATTTTAAAAGATGTATTGTTTATTCAAGTTTTTGAGATTTATGGCTTATTTCAAAAACATATTCAAGCTTTTAAGATTTGTGTCTTAATTCAAAAGATGTATTGTCCTTAAGTATAGGCCACACATAATCAAATCTAAAACTTTTCTTCTAACTTTTATCTTATGCTAGTAACATTTTGGCTCGAGTCAATTATAAAATGATATACATGTAACGTTAAAATCAAAATGGACAATACATATTTAAAAAAAAAATACAAATCTTAAAAGTTTGAATGAACAATATATCTTTTTGAAATAAGCTATAAATCTCAAAAGCTTGAATGGACAATATAACATTTGAAATAAGACACAAATCTCAAAAGCTTGAATGAACCATGCATCTTTTTGAAATAAGACAGATCTTAAAAACTTGAATGGACAATACATCTTTTGAAATAAACTACAAATCTCAAAAACTTGAATAGATAATACATCTTTTGAAATAAGATACAAATCTCAAAAGTTTGAATAGACAATACATCTTTTGAAACAATACAAATCGTTTTTTATAATATAAAATAATTTTTTTTTTATCTAGAATAGTATCTTCTTCAATTATAAAAGTTTACACCACTCAACTTCTTAATTCAACTTATCTATATATCTACAAAGATGAATTTCAATGTTGGAAGTCCATCTCATTTATCATCTTCTAATTCGTCTTCATTTTTTGAGAGTGAAAATGATGACGTTAATTGATGAATGATGTTGAAGCAATTAATGCAGAGCAAGAAACAATTATTCACATGAGAGCTAACAACAACCTCCTCCACGTTCACTACCCCGATCAACAAAACAACTAGGTGATCCATATAGGATCAATTCCTAGTCATATAGTCATCAATTGCGATCGGGAAAATGCTGATTGCAATCTGTTCAACAATTATTTTGTCGATAATCCACAGTATAATGATTTCATGTTTTGTCGACAATTTCGAATGTCTCGAAGTTTATTCATTCGTATTGTTGATGTTGTGAAACGTCATGATAACTACTTTATACAACGAATGGATGAGATTGGTAGACTAAATTGTCTGTTTTCGAAAAATAACAACCGTGTTCCAGATGTTGGCATATGGTCTACCAGTAGATACTATTGATGAGTATAATAAAATATGTGAGTCTATAACAATTGAAAGTCCGAAGATATTTTGTCGTACTGTTGTTGAGGTATTTGTATAGCGGTATATAAGATCACCTAATGTTAATGATGTTGTCAACTTACTTCATATTGGTAAACAACGTGGTTTTCCAGGAATGTTGGGTAGTGTAAATTGTATGCACTAGAAGTGGAAAAATTATCCAACGACTTGGGCAGGACAATATGCTAGTTATAGTGGATCCTTAACTATTATTCTCGAGGCTATAGCTGATTATGATTATTGATATGACATACATTTTTTGGTTTACCAGGTTCCAACAATGACATTAATGTGTTGGATGCATCTCATCTATTTGTCAACCTCGCTCAAGGTATTGCTCCTCCCGCTCATTATATCATTCAAGGAAAAAGTTTAATATGAGTTATTATTTAGTTTATGGTATATACCCAAAATGGTCTACTCTCGCACAAACTAGTCGCAATCCATATGGTCTCAAAAAAAATTATTTGCAATGAAACAAGAAGGATGTAGAAAAGATGTGGAACGTGGGATTGGAGTTCTTTAATCACGGTTTACAATTGTGGCAGAACTAACATGTTCTTAGAAAATAAATGTATTACATGATATAATGGCTGTGTGTATTATCATGCACAACATGATCGATCGTGATGTTGATGCACCGATTGAGAATCAAATAGAAGCGCCAACTTCTAAAGTTGAAATTACGGTAGATGAAAATGCTCGATTTTAAAATTTTCTTGCTTGACATAAACAAATCAAGGATATGAAGGCTCATCATGCTTTTCGAAATGCATTAATTGATCATTATGTATATGACATTTTATATTACATGTAATGTTTACTTAATTTTATTAAATTAGTATAATATTCTAAGTTATTATTAATAGTTAATTAATAAAATATATTATTCTTAATATTTAATTAATATACACAAAAATAATTGTTGAGAAGTAATAGAAAAAAAAAAAAAAAGAATATTCTAAATAATATTTTTTTTGATGTAATGAATTAGAGATGCAATAGTAAAGTGGTGTGAAAGTTGCACTATTTGAGTGTGAAAGACAAGTACATTAATTTGGTGTTTGTGATGGAAATGAAATAACATTTTATAAATTTATATAATATAATATTTGTCAGGATATATATTTGGTCTTCACAATGGTCAATCAAATGCTTGTGATATATTTTGCTTATTCTTTCAGTTCTGATATTAAGTATTAACAAAAAAAAAAAAAAAAAAAAAAAATTGGTTTACTTTTCATGAAATTGGAAATGCTGATTGTTGTAATCTATGATTATGTATGAGTTTTATTCACAATCGTACTTTTTCGTTTTTATTTTTGAACTTCTACAGGCCCATCCATGATGTGAAAATACTTAAGACCTCGGTTAAAGATTGATGCCTTGTAGCTGTCGTGTAACGATTCCAAAATGCTGTAACCTCTGATTTTGGATGTACAAACATTCTTCAAAACACATAAATTCCGGACGTAAGCATCTCATTGAAATGGAAGAAAAAATATGACATTTGAAGAATATAGATCCTTTTATTTTAATTTGGAATTTATGATTAAAATAAATGCTTCTATTATTAAAATTTGTAGAGGATTATGATTTTTGAAACAAGTGTATATGATACTCATCAAGACGTTGACAACCATACTAAAACTTTGAATCCAAACACAGAAATGGGCAAAGAGTTTCTGATTATCATTGGGTTGGTTACACGAATTCAAAACTGCAATTTATGCAATCAACTAAATCATTATATCAATAATCTGATTATCATTTTCGACCAAGGGCAAGTGAGCTTCTTTGCCTTTGATTTTTCCTCTTTTTATCACTACCCAACAAAGCCAAAAGAGCTCCCCCATCAGGTGTTGTTCTGGCTAACCATTCATTGCAAAATCTAAGGACCAAACCATACTAGAGAAAACAAAACTGCTCTTAAAAAAACAAGCCAACTAATTTTTATACTCGAGGGGAAAAAATGCCATTTCTATACCTAATTTTCAGAGCAGAACATAGCCTCAGCAGTCAGCTCTTCCAAACCACAATATTACTTGCACATCTAAAAATCAAATTGTGGAGTACTCTTGCTGCATTCATTTTCCAAAAAATCTGATCCTATGCAAAATAACAACTTGGTCGCCACGTCGTTACACCACTGGGCTCTCTATTTCCACTAGCACCCACAATAACTATACATCAGTAAGCTGCATCTGTCTGAATACAATCCCCATCTCCACTAAACCATAGCAGCCATTTTAATGTAAGGTTGGAAGAGATGCTATGTACTACAGAAGTCATGGAATGGTTGACATATCAGTTTAAACACACAATAACATCAGAAGAAAATCATAAATGTAGCAAAATGGCGTAGAGCCATGAACAGAATAAACATATCTTGCACAACTCAACACTCATTGAAGTCATTATACAAGGGATAATATTCCCGAACAAATTATTGATAACAAAAACAATAAAGATACGTCACAAGAAAACTTCACAATTATAAGATGACAAACCGGAGATGCTAACCAGCACTGGCAGGTGCAGGTGCAGGTGCAGGTGCAGCTGGAATTGGTGGTTCAATGGCTTGAAGCAAACCTGTTGCAAGCTTCTTAGTCAAATCCTCTGCTGACACTTTCACTACATCCTTCCTCATGCCAATATCAGCAGCATATCGGCTAGCACAGTAGACGGTGACAGCTGTTGCTACCATCCCATAGACATTGGTGGTCACAAGCCGCAATGGTGTTGATAAAACAGCAGCAAGCGGCCCCCCGATGATAGATACTGCTTGGCCACTCTGTCCCATTGTTCCTTGATCCACAACAAGGAGTCCAGTTTTGCAGTAGATTGCGAAGTCCTCACAATTGTTCTTAAACACATTGTAGCACCCAAAGCCATTGTCAAGCAGGTACTTTGCTCGATGTACCACGACATCATTTGGGTCAGAGAATGCAAGAGTGCAAGTTCCACCACGAGCTTTCGCCAGGAAGAGAGCAGGGCTGGCAGAATACTCAAAACGGTACAAGACACCACCAGCAAGGAAGCAATTTAGGCATGAGAGGACAACTCCATGACCATCTCCAGAGGGTGTACAGGTGGGGCAGGGCACTACAGATCTAGCTGGTCCTGAGCTTACCAAGAGGATATCAAGTACCGTGCCCGTTCCTACTTCTTGGCCCCGTCTAGTAAAATGAATGACTTTATCATCCCCAATATAGATGCCTATCATCATTCAAGATCCAAAAATAATTATTTTCATATACATCAACGAGAAAATAGAATATAAATAGATCTTATGGATCGTGAAAATAGATTCTGAGAAATAGAAAGTGGAAATAATAAATTACCAATGAAAGAGCATAACACTACACTGTGCTTAAAACATTTGATATAAATAAGCTCTACTAACCTCCTTCCTCGTATGAAAGTCATCTTAATAGTGCATAATCTATTTCATACAAATAAACCTTTCAAGAATAATTTGGAACTATCAAGACATGTAAAAGAATTGTCCTCCATATCAAATTTTCGAGTACTTGAAAAAAAAAATCTGGTGCGAAAAGGCTATTGACATATAAATCTATAGGATGCAATGATTACCGTCGTAGCTGCACTTGTTAAAGACATCAAACACATTTTCAAATACTAAAATTATTAATAATACAACTTAAAGTATTAAATTACAAATTTTCAAAAAACTGTTTCTATATCACGAACCAACCGACCCTAATTAATGGGTGCATTTGGTTTAATATTTATATCCCTATTCCTAATTTATTCCCAAAATATTTGTTTGTTTCATTATTTCGGAAATCTATTATATTTTTAATTAATTTAGACCCCTTAAGTTTATTAATTTCATAAATACCCCCAAAAAAAGTTTAAAATTAATATAAAACACACCCCAACCACCTATAGTTACCAGATTTCGACAACCACTATCGGTGGTAGTCAGAATTTGTCACAACGGCTACAAAAGACCGAAACTTGTTAATAATTTGCCGATCTGGCCTTTTTCAGCCAGATCCACACGGAAAAGGCTAGATCTAGCCGTCAGTGACGGCCAAGGAAATGGCCTTTTGCAGTCGTTGACGGCCAGATCTGGCCATCGATCTGGCCTTTTTGGCCAAATCCGTGGTGGATCTGGCCGAAAAAAGGCCAGATCGATGCACGTCCTTCCAAATTCGACCGGTCTGCATCGTAGCGCCAGATTCCAACTAGATTTCGACAGTGGTGGCCGAAATCTGGCATTGGGTGTGGGTGGGGGGTGTTTTGTCATTTCACAAAATTTTTATATATTGGGGTGTTAGTTAAATTAGCAAACCTAGGGGTTTTTTTTTTTTTGTAAATTTTTAACTTTTACCTCGGAATAATCACCATATTCAAATACTAATACTATCTTAAAATCCTATCCAAAATAATAAACCAAATGCACCAATAATTCTTTGGCTAACCAAGTTATAGATGTCTCTATCTCACCCAATTCTATACAACAAGTACTATTGCTGGTTCACATTTTGGGTAAACTATTCATCAAAATATAGGTTTAAATTGGTTATTTGGTCATCCAATTCTTATACTAATAATGAGTCCAAATGGTCGTTAGGTTTTGTTTTTAGAAAACGTTTTCAAATACATGATTTGTATTTTTTATACAACGAAAGCACTTTAGTTCAAGTATATTTAGGTTGGCCCATATTAGTGAAAATCGGCCCATCCATATATTGCGGCCTCAACAATTGGGCTTATTGCTTTTTTAAAGTAACCCATTATAGGCGGTTTAATAACAATAGTTCTTCCAAGTCCTCAATAATAAAACAATAAATTCCTCCGTAGTTAGTAATTACAGGAACGCCACTGATAATTTTTTTTGTGTTAAATAAAATGATAAAGGCATAATTAGGAAATGTTATAAAACCCATTATATTATAAATTTTGGGGTTTTGGCTTGATCCCTTGAGGTTTAATTAAATAACATATTTTCTAGATTTCAGAAATAACATAAATTCTTATGCGTGTTAGTACCATTAAATTTATGATTGAATGTTAATGAATAACCTAACGATATGTTAAAATTTATGATTTTTTTGCCATAAAAAATAACGATGGGGGAGAGTTTGTTATTACTATAATGATAGGAGGGAGTTTTTTATAAATCATATTAGGGGGATTATTGTTCTTAACGCTAAATTTTAACATATACTAAGGTTGTGTTTGGTTAAGAAAATATTGTAACTGAGAATGTTATATTAATGGAAAGATAGATTACTTTCAAGAATACGGGAATATTTAGAGAAATATGTTTGGTTGGTTGGAAATAATTGATGGGTATATTATGTAAATTATTAAATTGCCCTTTTTTTAATATTATATAATAATAATAATATATTATTATTTTTGAATAATTTTTTTAACCCCCTCCATTTCAGATTTATTAAAACACTGCGCAATAAAAAAAGTTTAAAATTTAACAAAAAAAACCCCCACTTATCCCAAGCACTACCTGGCTACCTGCCACCACCACCGAGGTGGCAACAGTGGAGATTGGTTGTTTACTAGCATGGTCAGAAACGGCTTTCTTGCACATGGTTGGCCAGATACAACCAGTATGTGCCCTTCTATCGTTTGCGATAGTGGTGACCAAATCCGCCCACACCATGAGTAATTTTTAAAATTTTAGGGGGATTTATGTCCTAAATTTTTTATATATAAGGATAAAATAGTCTATTAGTATTTTGTAAATTTTTTTTAAAACAAGGGCATTATTGTCTTAAAATTTTATTAATAATGGTGAAAATTGTAACAAAATTAAAATTATCAAGTAATCTGAAAATGCCTAAGAAAATAGAGGGAATCAGATTATCTCTATATTACTAAGTATAATACTATTAGTTTGAAAGTATTAGAAATTCTTATAATGAACATTACCTCAATTAGGGGCGGATCCAGAGAATGTTGAGGGTGGGCCATGTCACCCTCAAATTAAAAAAAAATAAAAATAATATGTAATTTTTTTTTCTTTTTGTGACAATTTCGACAATTTGTTATTGCAATTAGATTTATTTTGGCTCACCCTAACAAAAAATTATGGATCCACTACTGACCTCAATAATGAGGAATTACCCAACACAAATACACCCTAATAGCTCACTGTCATAAAGAAAATTATGTCATTTTGAAATCTTAGGAGAAATTTTATTATTTAATTAAACCTCAGGGGTTGAGAAACCTTTTATGGGCCGGCCCATCCATTCCAGAGCCCAAACAGTTGGGCTTGTTCTTTGTAAAGTGACCCCTTTTAAGGGCCAGCCCATTTTGCACCGATCCGCACTTTGTAAACCGACTCAAGCGCTACATTTTGTCTCCTCTTTCAAATCAAAACCCTAACCGGGGGTTCTCTGTAAGCTAAGCTGTGATATTACTCAAAGAGAGGGATTCGCCGCTCGGCTGTCAACATGGTTCGTTCTTGCTTTCAATATCTGAAACACAAAGGCTATTATGGTTTGAATTAATTTATTTGATT